AAAGATTAGTGACGACGCTGGAGCTGCCATAGATACGGCGATCCATGGAAGCTCTGTTAGATCGGATTATCTGGAAAGATGGAACAATAAAAAAAAAAATTCTTTTTTTGGTGAAAGAAGGAAAGAGTTTACTTTTTTTGTTTCTTGAAGTGTCGGCGATGGCAAGTGGAAGTGAGAGAGATGAGTTTGGTTGTGTGTCTGTGTTGTGTAGTTTTTGGGTTCTTTGAGTTTACGGACCAGGCTGGTGTAGGGACCCACACACGTTTTAGCTTTCTTCATCCGGCTCAGCTCGGCTTCATTCGGCTTAAATTTCCTCTTAATTTTTCTTTTTTTAAGCCAAAAACCTTACGAGTTATGAATGGGGATGGTTGATAAAAATTAAAAATTATGTAATTTGGTGTAGGAAAATGATTGTGAATATGTGTTGATACTTAACTTGAAAGTGAAATTAAAGAGATGAAAAAAATAGAGAGAAGTGATGCATGTGATTGTGAGTGGTGGGGAAAGAGGAAGCCGAGGAACGCGTGGCTTGGAAAGGAAGCTGTCGGTTTGGGACGTAAACATCCCATCTGCAAATAGTAATTACACTTTTTGGTTTTTTACTCTCACGCGCCCTCTCTGCGTGTGAAGGTCACACGCTACAACTTTATAAGTACATAGTATCAGAAAAGTGAGTATCTTGTTACCATCATCACAAGGAAGAAAAAAAAGTCTTTTGGGCTCAATTTGGGCCGATTCGTTATAGCTCTTAGTGGGCTCAAATTGCATTCATTCTTTTTCTTTTTTTTTCTTCTTATGAATGAAAAAGAAGAACGACACACAAATTATGGGATCAGATGGTTTCACATTTTCCACAACAAAGGAAATCCGGAAATATCTCTGACAAATTGCTAGTTCTATATACTAAACATAGATGTGCTTTTTACATCCCTTTAATAATTGAGCTCGGAATGTTCACATTAGGTCGATCAAAAACCTTTATTAGGTCGTGGACTATCCCCAACCCGACCAAGAATTCAACCTTTTTCATTGTCGATCTCTCTCGCTATATCCCATTTTACAACTTGTCATGGTGGATGACTTCAACGGCACATAATCTTTAGGATGACAATGCGGTGTGTCATCTTAAAAATGAAAAAGTTTTTAGATAAAATGAAATTAGTTTTAATATTGCAGCTTGTTCATGTTCGTGCCTATAAATAAAAACAGTTATGTGTTTTTTCGGGATTAATTTCTCGGCACACTATTTAAAAATCAATCTATAACAGGAACAATTTGTTTTGAGACATTAGTGGACACGAAAAGAAGAAAAATGAGATCATGTATTCAATTCCAAAATTGTTATATTAAATGAATGATATACAACAACGACAAAATTCGATTGGGTTAGGACGTATGCTGTGTGATTTGAGGTAGTACTGAAAAAATAAATGTAAAATTTGAGGAAAAATTGAAATTCAAAATTTCTTATTAATGTTATATTGTTATAGAAAAAACATGTAAAGACATATTTGCATGGGATTCAACGCATGCTAAAACTCATGAAGAATTGTCGCATCACAACCACATTTTCATTTGCAAGACAATCGAAACTAAACAAATTTGTATTTATAAATAGAGACAAAAGAGGAAATAAGAGTCAATAAATAAAGAGAAGAAAGTAGTGGTGTGGTAGAGGAGAGCTCAATAAATCAATCAATGTAATTGAGAGGAAAAAAAATCAAAGGTCCCCACAAAAAATAGAAGGGTAAAGAAAGAAAAGGACAGTTTACACGAAGAGTTACACTGTACTCTCCACTCACATGAAACCCTAGTTACTTAACTTTATTCACTCTTTTTTCACTCAACCTTCTTTATTATTTTACCACCTGACTCTCTCACTCTCTTAGCCCTAAAGACCTAAACTGTCACCTATATAGCTACAGGCATCTATATTCCATATCCCACGCTTCTTCGGAATCTTTTGCTGGATCCTTCTCTTTATACTATATCCCAACTAAAAAGCACGTCTTAATCAGTAGTACCATTTCTAAATGCTAAACCAAACGACTCAAAACAGTTCTGTTTTGTGTAATTTTCATGTGGTTTTTGTCATGTTATTATTCACTCTATTCACTATTGTCTTCTTCAGTCTTTGATCCCTACTTAGACTCCCTACTTCGACTATTCATTATGGCATGTTAGGCCACGTTCCAAACTCACACTTATGCCTATTTTTGTGCATTATGATATATGTAAATTCGTAGATTATTGTGTTACCTAGATATATCATATATTACACACACACAACTACATTACTAAAATATTTTGATTATTCAAACAATAGTTGACTTATTAATCCATTGAATCTACACAATTTACACGTAGTGAATCAGCCATATAATAATATTAACTTAGCTTTTTGTGTTGAATTGACTTCTAATTGTTTTTTTTTTGTAACTCAAATGGTGAACACATGTTGTTACTCGTTAGTGTGAAGATCTTCACTTAGTGGTCTACTTGTACGGCTAAAACATACTTAAGTTTGGTTTTGATTTGAAAATGCATAATTCGATCTCGAATCTTTTCATATTTGCTTATTCGAAATGATGAACATAAATCTATCGAAGAAAAAGGGCACACTTATTTTAATAAAAACTATGAACAAGAAGAGCATAGTTATTTTGATCTACACATTTCACACTGTTTTACACTTCAAGAA